ACAGTTATTAACAGTGTACAACAACAGTTATTAACAGTGTACAGCAATAGTTATTAACAGTGTACAACAATAGTTATTAACAGTGTACAGCAATAGTTATTAACAGTGTACAACAATAGTTATTAACAGTGTACAGCAATAGTTATTAACAGTGTACAACAATAGTTATTAACAGTGTACAACAACAGTTATTAACAGTGTACAGCAATAGTTATTAACAGTGTACAGCAATAGTTATTAACAGTGTACAACAATAGTTATTAACAGTGTACAACAACAGTTATTAACAGTGTACAACAATAATTATTAACAGTGTACAACAACAGTTATTAACAGTGTACAGCAATAGTTATTAACAGTGTACAACAATAGTTATTAACAGTGTACAGCAATAGTTATTAACAGTGTACAACAATAGTTATTAACAGTGTACAGCAATAGTTATTAACAGTGTACAACAATAGTTATTAACAGTGTACAACAATAGTTATTAACAGTGTACAACAACAGTTATTAACAGTGTACAACAACAGTTATTAACAGTGTACAACAACAGTTATTAACAGTGTACAACAACAGTTATTAACAGTGTACAACAACAGTTATTAACAGTGTACAACAACAGTTATTAACAGTGTACAACAACAGTTATTAACAGTGTACAACAACAGTTATTAACAGTGTACAACAACAGTTATTAACAGTGTACAACAACAGTTATTAACAGTGTACAACAACAGTTATTAAGTGTACAACAACAGTTATTACGTGTACAACACAGTTATTAACAGTGAAAACAACAGTTATTAACAGTGTACAACACAGTTATTAACTAGATGTACTAACAACAGTTATTAACAGTGTACAACAACAGTTATTAACAGTGCTACAACAACGTTATTAACGTGTACAGCAATAAGTTATTAACAGTGTACAACACAGTTATTAACAGATGACAACAACAGTTATTAACAAGGACTAACAACAGTACTATAACAGCACAACACACAGTCTAATAACACTACCAAGTAGCTAATCAGAGCACTAACCACAGTATAATACAATAACACAGTTACTAACTACAAGTACACAATATTAACAGTGTACAAACAAAGTTATTAACAGGTACAACAAAGTTATTAACTAGAGTCACTAACCACAACAGTTATAACAGTGTACAACAACAAGTTATAACAGTGTACAACAACAGTTATAACAGTAAGATAACCACAATAGTTATAACAGATAGTACAACAACAGTTATAACAGAGACAACCAACAGTACTAATGAAACTAAACATAGTACTAACTAAAGTTATTAACACAGTACTACTAAAGCATATACAAGTACTATACAAGTATAACACAATACTATACAAGTCACTAAACAAGTACTAACTACAAGCACTAAAAAGTACTATACACCTACCACAAGTTACTAATACAAGCACTACCAAGTTATAACTAAAGCTAATCACAAGTCTAACTAGAAGATACACGAAGAGGAAAATAACTAAGCACAACCAAATAGAGTATGAAGCTCATAACTAGAAGCACTAACCACAAGTACTAACTAGAAGCACTAACCACAAGTACTAACTAGAAGCACTAACCACAAGTACTAACTAGAAGCACTAACCACAAGTACTAACTAAAGCATAACACAATACTACTAGACACACAAAGTACTAACTAGAAGCACTAACCACAAGTACTAACTACAAGCACTAACCACAAGTACTAACTAAAGCACTAACCACAAGTACTAACTAAAGCACTAACCACAAGTACTAACTAAAGCACTAACCACAAGTACTAACTACAAGCACTAACCACAAGTACTAACTACAAGCACTAACCACAAGTACTAACTAGAAGCACTAACCACAAGTCTACTAACTACAAGAACACATAACACACAAGTACTAACTACAAGCACTAACCACAAGTACTAACTAGAAGCACTAACCACAAGTACTAACTAGAAGCACTAACCACAAGTACTAACTAGAAGCACTAACCACAAGTACTAACTAAGAAGCTTACACTAACCACAAGTACTAACTACAAGCACTAACCACAAGTACTAACTAGAAGCACTAACACAAGTACTAACTAGAAGCACTAACCACAAGTACTAACTAGAAGCACTAACCACAAGTACTAACTAGAAGCACTAACCACAAGTACTAACTAGAAGCACTAACCACAAGTACTAACTACAAGCACTAACCACAAGTACTAACTACAAGCACTAACCACAAGTACTAACTACAAGCACTAACCACAAGTACTAACTACAAGCACTAACCACAAGTACTAACTACAAGCACTAACCACAAGTACTAACTACAAGCACTAACCACAAGTACTAACTACAAGCACTAACCACAAGTACTAACTAGAAGCACTAACCACAAGTACTAACTAGAAGCACTAACCACAAGTAGTAACTACAAGCACTAACCACAAGTAGTAACTAGAAGCACTAACCACAAGTACTAACTAGAAGCACTAACCACAAGTACTAACTAGAAGCACTAACCACAAGTACTAACTAGAAGCACTAACCACAAGTACTAACTAGAAGCACTAACACAAGTACTAACTAGAAGCACTAACCACAAGTACTAACTACAAGCACTAACCACAAGTACTAACTAGAAGCACTAACCACAAGTACTAACTACAAGCACTAACCACAAGTACTAACTACAAGCACTAAACACAAGTACTAACTACAAGCACTAACCACAAGTACTAACTAGAAGCACTAACCACAAGTACTAACTACAAGCACTAACCACAAGTACTAACTACAAGCACTAACCACAAGTACTAACTACAAGCACTAACCACAAGTACTAAACTAGAAGCACTAACCACCCAAGCCACCCAGTACTAACTACAAGCACTAACCACAAGTACTAACTACAAGCACTAACCACAAGTACTAACTAGAAGCACTAACCACAAGTACTAACTAGAAGCACTAACCACAAGTACTAACTAGAAGCACTAACCACAAGTACTAACTAGAAGCACTAACCACAAGTACTAACTACAAGCACTAACCACAAGTACTAACTAGAAGCACTAACCACAAGTACTAACTAGAAGCACTAACCACAAGTACTAACTAGAAGCACTAACCACAAGTACTAACTAGAAGCACTAACCACAAGTACTAACTAGAAGCACTAACCACAAGTACTAACTACAAGCACTAACCACAAGTACTAACTACAAGCACTAACCACAAGTACTAACTACAAGCACTAACCACAAGTACTAACTACAAGCACTAACCACAAGTACTAACTACAAGCACTAACCACAAGTACTAACTACAAGCACTAACCACAGTACTAACACAAGCACTAAACAAGTACAAAAGCACTAACCACAAGTACTAACTAGAAGCACTAACCACAAGTACTAACTAAGCACTAACCACAAGTATAACTACAAGCACTAACCACAAGTACTAACTACAAGCACTAACCACAAGTACTAACTAAAGCACTAACCACAAGTACAACTAGAAGCACTAACCACAAGTACTAACTAGAAGCACTAACCACAAGTACTAACTAGAAGCACTAACCACAAGTACTAACTAAAGCACTAACCACAAGTACTAACTACAAGCACTAACCACAAGTACAACTAGAAGCACTAACCACAAGTACTAACTACAAGCACTAACCACAAGTACTAACTACAAGCACTAACCACAAGTACTAACTACAGCACTAACCACAAGTACTAACTACAAGCACTAACCACAAGTACTAACTACAAGCACTAACCACAAGTACTAACTACAAGCACTAACCACAAGTACTAACTACGAAGCACTAACCACAAGTACTAACTACAAGCACTAACCACAAGTACTAACTACAAGCACTAACCACAAGTACTAACTACAAGCACTAACCACAAGTACTAACTAAAGCACTAACCACAAGTACAACTAAAGCACTAACCACAAGTACTAACTAGAAGCACTAACCACAAGTACTAACTACAAGCACTAACCAAACAAAGTACTAACACAAGCACTAACCACAAGTACTAACTACAACCCTAACCACAAGTACTAACTAGAAGCATACCACAAGTACTAATCTAGAAGCACTAACACAAGTACTAACTAGAAGCACTAACCACAAGTACTAACTAGAAGCACTAACCACAAGTACTAACTACAAGCCTAACCCAAGGTACTAACTACAAGCAACCACAAGTACTACTCACCTACCACAAGTACTACGTGAGACAGCACTAACCACAAGTACTTATACTACGTGCACTAACGAGGTGACTAACTACAAGCACTAACCACTAGTCACCTAACTACAAGCACTACCACAAGTACCAATTCGAGCACTAACCACAAGTCTAACTACAAGCATAACAAAAACCACAAGTACAACCACAGGTACTATACAAGACTATCCGACAAGTCTAATTAAGCAGTGACCACAAGTCAATACAAGCACTAACACGTACCCTCAGTGATATACCGACAAGTAACCCTACATGGAGCACTAACCACAGAGTACTACTATGACTACCACAAGTACGACTATTGCAAGCCCAATTATATATAGGAAAAGTCTAACAGTTCAGTAACACAAGTACCAGACTACATAGCAGTGAACACAGTATACTACAAGCACTAAACCCCAGTACTAACTAGAAGCACTAACCACAAGTACTAACTACAAGCACTAACCACAAGTACTAACTACAAGCACTAACCACAAGTACTAACTACAAGCACTAACCAAAACCACTAAGCACTAACACAAGTACTAACTAGAAGCATAACACAAGTACAACTACAAGCATAACACAAGTACCAAACAAGCCTAACCAAGTACCAACTACAGCACTAAACAGTTTCTAAAAGTACAAGCACTAACCACAAAACCACAAGTACTAACCACAGGTGCTAACCACAGTTACAAACCATGTACCTCCCTCCCCAGGACACATCTGAGGTGGTGAGCTTGCTAAGGAAGGGTGACAAGATTGGTGTTATGATTTACCTGCGACACGGAGGTGACCCCAACGCTCGGAACCACTTGGGATGGACCCTGCTCCACCTGGCCTGTGTCGAGGTCTCAGACCGAAGCTCCAGCGTCCTCTTCTCATGCACGGTAGCCTCGTGAGTCTCCATCTAGTGATCATACCTGATGCTTGAGCTATAGTCCTGGCCCACACTTTTTGACTCTTTAAACTGTTTTCATTGAAATGTGGTTTTTAGTGGGTGTACACATGAATAAACGCGACTCATGCGCACGTGTGCTCCCTCAGGTGAACTCGTGCACCACGGACATGTGCACGCCCCTACATCGTGCGTCCGCTCAGGGCTACAGCGCTGTCGTTGAACTCTTGCTCAAGAAGAACGCCTATGTGAACGCCCAGGTGAGTTAGTGATGAGGAAGAACGCCTATTTGAACGCCCAGGTGAGTTAGTGATGAGGAAGAACGCCTATGTGAACGCCCAGGTGAGTTAGTGATGAGGAAGAACGCCTATGTGAACGCCCAGGTGAGTTAGTGATGAGGAAGAACGTCTATATGAACTCCCAAGTGAGTTAGTGATGAGGAAGAACGTTCAAGATTCAGTAAACAATTACCAGATAACCCGACTCGAGGGAAAACATTAAACAAACACATCACTAACAAATATAACAGCAGCAACAAAAACAATGACAACAACAACAACAACATCAGCAACAAAACGATAATAACAAGAACTATTACAATAATAAATAAATAATAATAATAACATTGTTTATTTGTTGTGTTGCAGGATAAGGCAGGTAACACACCGCTGCACGAGGCAGCTCGTGGCCTTCACACTGCTGTGGTTAAGATGCTCATAGAGAAGAAAGCGGACGTTACCAAGACCAACCACAAGAACCAGGTCTTCCTGCAGCTGGTAAGTTCCAGCTCTCTGTGTACTTACCTATTTATAGTTGCAGGGGGTCGATTCACAGCTCCTAGCCCCGCCTCTTCGCTGGTCACTGCTAGGTCCACGCTCTCTCCCTACTCCATAAGCTTTATCATACCTCTTCTTAAAGCTATGTTTGGATCCTGCCTCCACTACATCACTCTCCAGTATGTTCTACTTCCTGACAACTATGACTGAAGAAGTACTTCCTAACATCCTTGTGACTCATCTGAGTCTTCAACTTACAGTTGTGACCCCTTGTTGCTGTGTCCCACCTGTGAAACATTCTGTTCCGTACCTATCTACCTTGTCAGTTCCTCTGTGAGTGTGTATGTGCGTGCGTGTGTGTGTGTGTGTGTGTCTGTGTGTGTGTGTGTGTGTGTGTGTGTGTGTGTGAGTCTGTGTGTGTGTGTGTGTGTGTGTGTGTGTGTGTGTGTGTGTGTGTGTGTGTGTGTGTGTGTGTGTGTGTGTGTGTGAGTGTCTGTGTGTGTCTGTGTGTGTGTGTGTGTCTGTGTGTGTGTGTCTGTGTGTGTGTGTGTGTTGTGTGTGTGTGTGTGTGTGTGTGTGAGTGTGTGAGTGTACTCACCTATTTGTATTCACCTATTTGTGGTTGCAGGGGCCGAGTCACAGCTCCTGGCCCCGCCTCTTCGCTGATTGCTACTAGGTCCTCTCTCTCCCTGCCCCATGAGCTCTATCATACCTCGCCTTAAAACTATGTATGGTTCCCGCCTCCACTACGTCACTTTCTAGGCTATTCCACGGCCTGACTACTCTATGACTGAAGAAATACTTCCTAACATCCCTTTGATTCATCTGAGTCTTCAACTTCCAATTGTGACCTCTTGTGTCTGTGTCCCTTCTCTGGAACATCCCGTCTTTGTCCACCTTGTCTATTCTGCGCAGTATTTTATATATCGTTATCATGTCTCCCCTGACCCTCCTGTCCTCCAGTGTCGTCAGGCCGATTTCCCTCAACCTTTCTTCGTAGGACAATCCCCGTAGCTCTGGGACTAGTCTTGTTGCAAACCTTTTCACTTTCTCTAATTTCTTGACGTGCTTGACTAGGTGTGGATTCCAAACTGGTGCTGCATACTCCAGTATGGGCCTGACGTAAATGGTATACAGAGTCTTAAACGAATCCTTATTGAGGTATCGGAACGCTATCCGTAGGTTTGCCAGGCGCCCGTATGCTGCAGCAGTTATCTGATTGATGTGCGCCTCAGGAGATATGCTCGGTGTTATACTCACCCCCAGATCTTTTTCCTTGAGTGAGGTTTGCAGTCTTTGGCCATCTAAACTATATTGTGTCTGCGGTCTTCTTTGCCCTTCCCCAATCTTCATGACTTTGCATTTGGCAGGGTTAAATTCAAGGAGCCAGTTGCTGGACCAGGCTTGTAGCCTGTCCAGGTCTCTTTGTAGTCCTGCCTGATCCTCATCCGATTTGATTCTTCTCATTAACTTCGCATCATCTGCAAACAAGGACACTTCTGAGTCTATCCCTTCCATTATGTCGTTCACATATACCAAGAACAGCACAGGTCCTAGGACTGACCCCTGTGGAACCCCGCTTGTACAGGCGCCCACTCTGACACCTCGTCGCGTACCATGACCGTTGTTGCCTCCCTGTCAGGTATTCTCTGATCCATTGCAGTGCCTTTCCTGTTATGTGTGCCTGATCCTCTAGCTTTTGCAGTAACCTCTTGCGAGGAACTGTGTCGAAGGCCTTCTTGCAGTCCAAAAATGTGCAGTCGATCCACCCCTCTCTCTCTTGTCTTACTTCTGTCACCTTGTCATAAAACTCTAGTAGGTTTGTGACACAGGATTTTCCTTCCCTGAAACCGTGCTGGTTGTCAGTTATACACTTGTTTCTTTCCAGGTGCTCCACCACTCTCCTCCTGATGATCTTCTCCATGACCTTGCATACTATACACGTTAGTGATACAGGTCTGTAGTTTAGTGCCTCATGTCTGTCTCCCTTTTTAAAAATTGGGACTACATTTGCCATTTTCCATACCTCAGGGAGTTGCCCAGTTTCAAATGATGTGTTGAAGATCTTTGTTATGGCTCACACAATATCTCTGCTCCTCTTTAAGGACCCATGGAGAGATGTTGTCTGGTCCCACCGCCTTTGAGGTGTCAAGTTCGCATAGCAGCTTCTTCACCTCCTCCTTGGTTATATGTACCTCATCCAGCACTTGCTGGTGTGTCCCCCTGTTCTGATTTCCTGGAGTCCTACTGGTTTCCACTGTAAATACCTCTTTAAATCTTGTGTTGAGCTCCTGACATACCTCTCGGTCGTATCTTGTGAATTCCCATCACCCTTCCTCAGTCTGATTACCTGGTCCTTGACTGTTGTTTTCCTCTGATGTGGCTGTACAACAGCTTCGGGTCAGTCTTTACTTTTGATGCTATGTCATTTTCATATTGTCTCTGAGCCTCCTTCTTATCAGTGCATATTCGTTTTGGCTCTTCGGCTAATCTCTTTATTTTCCTGAGTTCTCTGTCTTCTGTACCTTTTCCATTCTCTAGTACACCTAGTTTTTGCCTCCTACCCTTTGGGTGAACCAAGGACTCGTTCTGTTCTTCCCATTATTTCTGTTTCCCTTGGGAACAAACCTCTCCTCTGCCTCCTTGCATTTTGTTGCCACATAGTCCATTTCTTGTACTGGTTTTCCTGTCAGTTCCCTCTCCCACTGAATGTCTTAAAGGAAGTTCCTCATGCCTGAGTAGTTCCCCTTTTTGTAGTTTGGTTTTTCCCAGCCTATTCCTGCTACTCTCTCCACTTGGAGCTCAACTATGTAGTCGAAGCACAGAACCACATGATCACTAGCTCCCAGGGGCCTTTCATACATGATACCCTCGATGTCCGAACTACTACAAGGTCCAGTCTTGCTGGTTCATCCTCTCCTCTCTCTCTGGTAGTGTCTCTAACATGCTGATGCATGAGGTTTGCCAGTACCACATCCATCATCTTGGCTCTCCATGTTTCGGGACCCCCATGGGGCTCTAGGTTTTCCCAGTCAATCTCCTTGTGATTGAAATCACCCATAACTAGTAACTTTGCTCCCCCCATGTGTGCTCTCCTGGCCACCTCGGCTAGTGTGTCGATCATTGCTCTGTTGCTCTCATCATATTCTTCTCTTGGCCTCCTGCAGTTCTGTGGTGGGTTGTACATTACTGCAATTATCACCTTATGTCCCTCAGACTGGATTGTTCCTAGTAAGTAGTCCCTTTCGCCCGTGCCATCCATTCCTTCCATTTTCTCAAAACCCCACTGATTTTTAATGAGCAGTGCAACTCCTCCTCCCCCTCTCCTCCCTCTGTCTTTCATGAGAATTTGATATCCGGATGGAAAGATTGAATCTGTTATTATTCTGGTGAGTTTTGTTTCTGTGAGTGCTATTATGTCTGGGGATGTCTCCTTGATTCTTTCGTGCCACTCCTCATACTTGTTTGTTATTCCATCTGCATTTGTATACCACACCTTCAACTTCTTTTCTAAGACTGTGGTCTGGGAGGTGTATTGGGGTTGGGGAAGTGGGAGACCTGGTAAGGAACTATGGGTTGTTGCTGTGGGTGTGGAGTTTGTAATGTAGTGAGTGGGGGCATTGGATGTGGCATGGATGTTTTGATTTAGAGTGTTTGGTTGCACTGGGGTTGACCTGGTTGGGAGGCTTCTATAGGAAGTTGTGAGGGAGGCTGTATTTGATCGTCTTCCTGGGTCTGGGATCTCCTGTCTGTCTTCTCCATCCCCTCTCTTTCCTCCTTTCGCCTTTGTACCATCTCTCTCAGTTTCTGCCTTTCATCTTGTGTTCTGTCGCGGTCAAGATACACCTTCCTGTATGCCGGCATGTCCCTTAATCGTGCTTTCTCCTGCAGGATCCTGTTCCGAGTCGCTTCTGCCTTGAAGGTCACTTTCACTGGCCGGTTTCTTTTTTTTACAAACCCCCCTATTCTCCGAAAATTTTCCAGCTGGGTCATGTCGTCTTCTCCTATTGCTTTCATGTTGCTTTCAATTGCTTTTTTTCCCTTGTTTTCTTGCTTCATATGTGTATCCCCTCATTTAATTTGGTTTCCTCCACTGCAGCTTCCCTTTCTTCAGTTTCACTAGCTAATGTACTTGGGCTCAGTGGCCTGTCATTTTCCCTTCTCGGCTTTCCTTGGGCTCTGTTGTTGTCTGTTAGGGCCTCCACATAAAGCTTAGCTCTTTCATTTACTACAGTCTCCTCTGATAGAGCTTCTCCATGCAGTTGTGGTCCTTCTTTCCCTACTGTCCCCTTATTTGTGGCTGAGGTAGCAGTCTCTGTTGTCAGTCCCAAAATGTTCTTTAGTTCTTTAGGCTGTTTCAGATTTTTCAGTTCCTCTTCTAAACTCTGTATCCTAGCCTCTGCTGCTTTGACATGTGTGTGTGTGTGTGTGTGTGTGTGTGTGTGTGTGTGTGTGTGTGTGTGTGTGTGTGTGTGTGTGTCTGTGTGTGTGTGTCTGTGTGTGTTGTGTCTGTGTGTGTCTGTGTGTGTGTCTGTGTGTGTGTGTGTGTGTGTGTGTGTGTGTGTGTGTGTCTGTGTGTGTGTGTCTGTGTGTGTGTGTGTGTGTGTGTGTGTGTGTGTGTGTGTGTGTGTGTGTGTGTTGTGTCTGTGTGTGTGTGTCTGTGTGTGTCTGTGTGTGTGTGTGTGTGTGTGTGTGTGTGTGTGTGTGTGTGTGTGTGTGTGTGTGTGTGTGTGTGTGGTGTCTGTGTGTGTGTGTGTGTGTGTTGTGTGTGTGTGTGTCTGTGTGTGTGTGTCTGTGTGTGTGTGTCTGTGTGTGTCTGTGTGTGTGTCTGTGTGTGTGTGTGTGTGTGTGTGTGTGTGTGTGTGTGTTGTGTGTGTGTGAATGTGTGTGTGTCTGTGTGTGTGTGTGTGTGTGTGTGTGTGTGTCTGTGTGCATCTTGCTCAGTGTTGTATCCTAGACCCGTAGGGGTCATTCAACACATGGGGTACGAAAAGAAATTACGTTTGATTCTAGGGAGCGGAGGGGGGACTCTTAATTCCTTGGATCAAGAGAATTTGTACGACCACTGAAGGCTCACACAACTATCTATAACATATTTATTTTGGAGTTATATGTGAAATACTATTAACATATGTGTAATAGGTAGACCACAGGGTATATACCAAGGCAGATGTGTGCATCTGTCAGTGCACATGAGCAGACAGTACAGTAACCTTTCTTATAATAATAATAAGATCCTCTATTTAGCGCATTTTTTTTCGTAAAGGCGGGAAAGCCTAAGTGATGTTCAGTTCTCGATGCACTTGTTCAAACACATTCACGGAAAACTGCGCTAAATAGAGGAGCTTAATTGAGAAGGATTGAAGCCTCCTCGAAGAGTAATGAAAAATGCGTCATGTAGCTTTTAATGACCCTAATTGGAGGTGTGTGTTAAAGCCCAATTAACCGACCAGTCCACTCACAGGTGGGTCAGCAGGTGATGCCAGTGGTGGAGTCCGGGGACTGCGATACGCTGGTGCAATGGCTGGACTGGGGACTGAGTCCAGACATAAAGGGTAACCTCCACTGGTCGGCCCTGCACCACGCCTCTGCTAGGGGACACCTCAACATCGTCTCCATTCTGCTCGAGAGGCAAGATAAATAATAATTGATGATGACTGGGCATGCTAATAATGATGATAGTTATTATTATTGCTATTATTATTATTATTTAATAATAATAATAATACTGAAGACTGACATTAACGATCATTATGTCAATTTCTCCACTCATATTAATTGGCTAGTGTTAATTACCATCTTAATTAGCCTCCATCAGTCTTTTCTGGGTCAGTAATCATCTAAAATCACTCTTGCGTTCCTAGACTCTGCTCTTAGTTGGTAAATATTAGATCAGTCTACCTGCTCTAATAGACTGTATTGAAATATAAAATATGTCGACAGAGTAGACACATGTGTTTTCAAGTTGAATAACAATTAAGTTAGTCTAGTTGTTGTAACTGCATGTGATGAAGCTCTACAGTGAGCGAAACGTTGTCCTGATTCCTGATAAAAGCTTGCTCACTTGTATGCTCCTTTGCTGTTCAAAAACTTAGCAGTGCATAAGTGATTTTTGAGGATGGGGAAAGGTTGGGGTTGGGAGGACTGCCTAGCATGGGCTAGACGCTCTGCTGCAGTGTCCTTATCCATATTGTGGCCAGGGTGTGTTGTACATACTGACTGAGGTGGCGTTGTTATTGGTGGTATTCCTGCAGGGGAGCCAACGTCAACGCTGAGGACAGTAACCGTACCACGCCCCTGCACACCGCAGCTTTCCACGGCCACCTGCGCATCGCAGAGCTTCTTATCGACGCTGGCGCCAACCTCAACGCTTCGGTGGGTATCCCTTCCCCTGCGCTCCAGGCCAGTAGGCCTGTTGCAGTGTTCCTCTGTTCTTATCTCTATGTAACTCTGATTGACTTGCCTGTCTCATCCAAATCTCTCTTTCTCTGACCTAACTTAATCAGTCTTATCTACCCTAACCAATAAGTAAGAAAAAATTACTTGTATTCAATAAAACAGGATTCTTTGTAGAATAATATTTTTTGTGTAATAATGGTGCTTAAATATTGTCTGACTTATATCAGATTTCAATACGTTGGATAATCAGTAAGAATAAATGTTTGTAACTGATGACTGAACAGCACAATCACCAGTGATTGTGCTGTGCCCTGGGGAGGGTACAGTGTATGGTACCCTTGTAATGTACCCTGAGGGGTACGTACCTCATAGCTACACTCAGTGAGTGTAGTGTACCCTTGTAATGTACTCTGGGAGGGTACAGTGACTGTAAGGTACCTTGTAGTGTACCCAGGGGAGGGTAGGTACCTCGTAGCTACAGTCAGTGACTGTAGTGTACCTCTGGCAGGATCAGCGAGGCAACACCCCGTTACACTCTGCTATAGAAGGATGTCATCCAGGCGTGATCAACCTCATGCTGGACCGGGGCTGCGACACATCCATACCTAACAAGGAGGGCCAGATCTTCACCCACCTGGTTAGTAACGTCACCCACCTGGTTAGTAACGTCATCTACCTGGTTAATAATGTCCCCCACCTCGTTTCTAACGTCACCTACCTGCTGAATAGCGTCACCCACCTGGTTAATAATGTCACCCACCTGGTTAATAATGTCACCCACCTGGTTAATAATGTCACCCACCTGGTTAATAATGCCACCTACCTACTTCATAATTTATGATTTATTTTAAGATACAATCTCCATAATAGATCCCGAGATATGGGAGAAGTATGGGGGAATATATTAGGAGGTATACTGCTAGAAGACACAGTAACACCTGTTTGGAGAGACAGTAACACCTATTAGGAGACACAGTAACGCCTACTAGGAGACATAGTGACACCTGCTAGGAGAGACAGTAACGCCTACTAGGAGACAGTAACGCCTGCTAGGAGAGACAGTAACGCCTACTAGCAGACAGTAACACCTGCTAGGAAAGACAGTAACGCCTACTAGGAGACACAGTAACACCTACCAAGAGACACCTGCAGGAGGAGTCACCACTGTTATCGTCTCCACCAGGTCAATGAGTTCCTGGTGACGGCAGTACATGCCGTCAACGTGGGTCACGTGGCCAGCCTCCTGAAGGGACACGCTGACCCTGACTCCCGCGACTCCTTCGGCTTCCCCGTCCTCTGCCACGCCGCCTTCAAGGTCAGTCCCATGGGTAAGGTCACAACCCTGCTCTAGAAACACTAACATTGGTGGTAAGGCCAATGCTACTCGCTGGTAGCGCTAACATCACCGTGATTTCAGCATCCTTCTCTTAAGCTCGTACTATTTTATTCAAGAAGATTCGTACCTCGCGAGCCCTGTTGTATTTGTCCTCAAAACTGTGTATAGTGTCTGGTACTAAAGCCTGACCCATAAGGCTTTTTCACCCCTGTGGTAAGACTATCTTTACCCTTAGGAAATGCCCAAGGTTTTCTTCCTGCTGGAGGGAAACCTTTGACGCTGTCGTTGCCATTGAATCCACAGTGGAGTCTTCCAGCTCTGGGTGACACATTTATTTAACTCTTGTAAAAAAACTAATTATCTTGTGTAATGGAATATGACAGGGGAAACCTATGCTGTGTGATGGAATATGACAGGGGAAACCTATGCTGTGTGATGGAATATGACAGGGGAAACCTATGCTGTGTGATGGAATATGACAGGGAAACATAGCTAGCTTTTCCCCACTATGTAACTAACCTATAGAGTAGCAGCACACTACTGATATGTAAACTGTTTTTAATAAGAGAAACCTTGATGTAGGGCGACGTGCTGATCGCCGACGCGCTGCTGGAGGCTGGTGCGAACCCCAACCTGGCAGACGCAGGGGGTAAAACCCCCCTGCACCACGCCGCTTACTGGGGACACCTCTTTGTGCCAAGGCCTTACGGAAAAGGGCGCCTCCTTAATGCCCAGGTCTGGGGGCACTTAATCCCCAAAGTTATATTCACCTCTTTAAAATCAGATTTAAGGTACAAATTTTAAAAGTTATTTCGTTACAGTTTTTTAAAGACTCCGTTTTTAACAGTATACATAAAAATATGATAAAATTTACTTACTTTTCAAAATTGGAAATGGGCTTCCCTTTTTTTCCGCAGTCGAGGATCATGTTTTTGGGGAAAATTGCATTTACTAATGTAACAAATTATGTACATAACAGGAAATGAAAAAAAGTATTATTTTTTAAACAATTTTTTCATAGACAATAAGAATTTTGGGACCCCTGTCGAAAAAATGCCCCCCCTTCGATACCCCCCACTGTCATAACCTCATTTTGCCTGACCTTAATTAATGAATATACATACCCAGGAAACGGGTAAATATAAAAAATTTGTGACTGTAATTAAAATAAAAAAGGGTTTATTAATTACAAAATTTACAAAACAAAAGGGAAAAATATATCTTAAAATCACTCACCAATTTGACGGGAGATTAAGGTACAAACCAAAAAACCTCACTCTAACTAAATCTATAAAAAATAAGCTGGCCAGAATTACCACAAATCAGAGACCTTATCTGGGGTTTTTGGACTGTCTTGTCCAGTCGTCTGATTCTCAATTTATGCAGGAATGCACATCCACCTATTTCCCTCCTATTTGAGAGGTTTAACACAATTTTAACCTCTAGAACAAAAAATTTTTCCCCCATTACACCAACATTTGACAAAATTAAAAAACCAAGAGGCGAGTCTCTTGCGCATGTGCAAGCCCCCTGTCGGCCCCCTTTCTCTTCTTTTAAAAATACACTTTAAACAATTTATTTTACACAATAAAAGGGAAATTATTTTCCACACTGCGCCAGGGGGAGGTCGTTGCAAACGACTAAAAATTGCTGATTGGCAACGGGAGGACCTGGGAACATATAGGATCGGCATCCACATGGCGAAAATTTTACCCAAGTTTTAATCCCCTTTTTACATTTTGCCGCCTTGTAATCCAAAATTTTTCCCTAAAAAAATTTTTAAGGATCTTTACCCCACCATGCATTACATTTTTATGGGCATTTAGCAAAATTAAATTTGTTAATATATTTTGGGCAGTAAGTAGGGTGTTAGCATAATTATAAATTCAGCTTTTTGTAACCTCCCTCACCAAATTTACATTTTCTCTAAATACACCCCCAATTTTCTATTAGGGCCCTTTCAAAATTTTTTCTTTCCTTATCAATTTAATTCATTTCCATAATTTCCTCCTGTACCCTCTTTATAAAATTTTCAAGGAATTGAAAACTTTATGATATATTCATCTTTTTTAAAAAATTTAAACCCAACTAGTTACATTGATTATTTGGTAAAAAAGAATACCTTTTATATCAATGCTAGGGGAGGACAAAGTTTGGAGCGGTGGCACAGTATTCAACGGGAGCAATTTGCCTTTTGTACGGGCCCAATTACTTTTTTTACCAAACCACCGGGTCCTTAAACATGAACAGCATTAAAATTAGCATAAGGTAAACCTCGAGAAAGAAATCAGCGGGGATTCCCCACCTTTTATGAAAAAATTTTTAAACACTTGCCCCAAACATTAATTCTCTTGATTTGATTAATTTCAGAACTCGTTTTGTAGTACAAAATTTTTTTTTTCCCATTACGAACCTTTAAAAGGATACCCATTACAGACCAAAACAGTGTGCTAATTTTTTTCTCCGCAACTTTTTTCTATAAAATTTAGCAAATTTTTACACCTACATAAAGGGCTTTTTAATTCCAACTAGGAAAGGGTACGTTTTAAAAATGGCCTTTTAGCCTTAGACAAAAACAATGAAATAAACAATACATTAAGATAAGCAACTGCTCCATAGCCAATTTAAAGCATCACAAAAATGGGGAGTCATTTTCCCATTTATTGCCACCTGGCGGGGGAAACTCCAAAATTGGATTTTTTTCAAAATCCCCAAATTAATTTTCATCCACCTGTTAATAAATTCCTCAGGTAGAATTTCACCCCAAAGACATTTAATTTTCCATTTTACTGAATTAATAATTTTCCCCTTATAGTAAGGGGGGGGGCAAAACCTAGGGTAAAAACATTGGAAAATTCACAAGAAAAAACTCTCTTATTTTAATTTAATTGGGCATACATAATTTTTATTTTAAACATTAAAAATCTTCTCTTACCCCCAAAAAAAACCCCAATACATTACACATTTTGGAAAATTTCATCCCGGGGGAATCTTTATTTTTTGCCCTTTTCAATTTGGACGAATTATTTTCCTTCTCTCAGAGGCAATTTGCACTTGCTTTATTTTATTAGCCTCCCTAAGTCATTAACATTTCCCTCATCATTGCGCACACCCAGGAAATTGTCCCATAAAATTGTTTCTCATTTTTACTCAAGGGTTTCCCCGTACATTAAGGTTGCATTTATCGTCGCTTGAAGGGAATGGACTGGATGTAGCCCCAAAAATAATACGCTCCAAAGCAAAAGGTTTTCAGGGGCAAGGGGGTCACTGGATTCTCAACCAAAGAAGGGGGACAATCCCGACGCCTCTTGTAAACCCAAATTTGAAGCTTTACTTATGCACCCGAAAAGGCATAGTGCTTCACTCTGAAATTTAATAAATTTTCCAAATTTTCCGTCAACGCGGACCTTCACAAACATCTTTAAACTAGTACTTTTTGTTACCCTGGCCGCAATTAAACACAATCCTCAAAAAGGGGTGGTCTTTGAATCCTTCTTCAATCCGTGATGGGCAAAAAAGTGACCCATAAATTTGCTTGCTCGGGGGACCTCTTCTATAAATTTTGAATTAACTGCTTAGCAAATTACACATTAAGGGGTTAACAAATTTTGGTTCTTACTCAGTTCGCGGGGCTGACCTTTTAAATGTCCCTATGCCATTCGTAATTTGTGGGGAAAATTTGGATGGTTCAGCTCCCGGAAGCGTACCCCGTATTGTCCCGATTTTAAAATTTTTCCTTCCCCCAGGGACTGCTCCTAGTAAAAGAAACGCCTGGGGTTTCTTCATTTAATTTACCCCAAAGCTGTCTAATTCCCCCAATTTTTGCCTGGGTCAACCCTTTTCTATGGAAAAATTATACTGGGATACGTTTTTTTTAATAAGACACAATTATGGATTTGTAGTTTCCTTAAACATGAAATTTTTTTACAAATCCACCATAATTACATGGCCTCCGCATCTTAAAAAAGGTGACACCACATTTCTTTACCATCCCTTTTACAAAAGGAGGGATAATTCACTACCTACAAAATATTATTGGGGTCAGAAACATCACTTACACCAGAAGGTGCAAAAATTTTTTTATAATGGAAGTATTTTGAGCTTTATAAGCCCACGTAGATATTTTCCTGGAAATCTATCTACAAATACGCATTTAAACGTTTTTTTTTCGTTTTCCCAACCCCGACAGTTTCATAAACATGTCATACAATTGGCTCTTTTATCTGAAGAAAAACCAGATAATTTTAAAGTTGTGGGGCTCCCATCTGTACTTTCATACCCTCAAGACATTACTTTTTTAAATAAAGGGGTCCCTGTCCAATAATGCATTTACCTTTTAGATTTACCTTTTATCATCAATTTTTACCTTAACACAGGGAAGGACTTCACAAAACATCATTATTAAATTACACAAATTTTTACATTGGGCCCCTGTTGTTCAGGATTGTCAAATTTTTCATTATTAAAAAATTATCATATAACCTTTACACATGACTATATGGTGTCTTCCTTTGTGACATTGAAAAAGAAGTTTAATTTGGCATAACACCTTTCATTGTGATTACCCAAAACTGATAATCTGTCAACCTCCAATTTTTCAATTTATCATTCCATGAATTGTTGCATTGCAATTCTTTGAAAAAGGTACCCTTGCAGAAAAAACAATCTCTCTTTTCTCTACGTTTTTTTATTAACTGGGGTATCTTAGGAGGTCTTTTTCTTCTTAAACCCATAGAGGGCATTATTTCTGATTCTTGCACTTGATATGCACCTATGCAATCTTTTTTTTGAAAGAATTTTGATTATTCATTGGGATAATTTCTCCCTTTTTGAACTTGACAGATACCTTGAGTTATTATTTTTTTGCATCTTTAAAAAGAGTTAGTTGGGTGGTCTGCAACGCACAATTAATTCTTGTAACCTAGTCTTATTTCCCCCAGACCAAAAAAACCCTGTATATTTATTCGAGAGCCATTTAAGTGTTTTACAGCTTAATTTATTTTGTAAATAGCATCAATAACCATCGATTCCTTTAGATTAATTATTACTTAAAGTTTTTAGGTGCTCTCCAGTTTAACTTAAACTGCTGAAAACCTTTGTAAGTGTGATCTGGGAAATTTTTTTTTTAACAATTATTCCCAGATCCCAAATTACTTTGTTCATATTACCTAAGTGACCTTCAACAGTCAACTGCTTCCTTGTAAGAGCATTTTTATTTGGGGAAAAGGGTTGGGATGATATGTGAGATCCCTTACCCGTCCCCTTTTGGGGAAAAAAAATTTTGTTACACAGGGTAGGGCACTCCTGTCATGCACAGCTGTTTTAAAAAATTTACCAAAAAAACCCCCCAATTTTTTCCAGGGTTAAACACGGGAAACAAAAAACGGGATTTTTTGGGAAAAAACATATTTTTGTTGGGCAACTGATTTAAATGCCCGGGTTTTCAATTTTAATTTTTTCAAGGCCCGACTTTTTCAAGAAAGAAAACTTTTTTCCCCTAATTTATAAAAATGATCTACTTTAGCCATCTACACAGTTTACTAAAAAATCCCTTCATATTTGTTGATATAATTTTATGAATCTCCTATTACCTAAAGCATCTAAATAAATTTTAAATCATCAATTCACATTTTGATTCATTTAAATTCCCAAACACTTATTTTATGCCCCTTTGGGTTTCTGAACTTTCCCAGCCTGAGTGATGTTTTTTGCCTAATTCCCCTATGTTTTCTTTTACATCAAATTTCCCCATTTTTTAGCCATGATGCAAGTATTAAATTCCCAATCAAAAACACGACACAACCTACCTTGAATAAATCCCCCTCTCGAGCTCAGCAATTACAGAAAAAATTGTAATAAAAATTTTTAAATGTAATTTAAAACAACTTTGGGTCATCAAAATTTTAAAATTAACAAATTAATAAATCCTTGCCAAATTTGGGGAAGCAAAAAATTTTTAACACAATATAATCTTTAGACCACTTTTTTAATTACACATCCTTTTTAAAAACTTGGGTAGAAATTGTCTTATCAAATTAATATTTACAAAACTTAAATAAATCCAGCCCTTTGGGGTTTTCAAAATTAAAAACACATTTAAAAAATTAGTACACTGCTATCAATTACACTACACTTATACACTTAATATAATCTTTAAACCCCCTTGGGTTGCTTACAAAAATTTAAAATTGTAATTTTTTATATCCACTACATATTAATAAATTTGTGAATTAACATCCACCTCCTTCTTCATTTCCAATAATTATTAATAAAATTTAAAAATAAAGACTTCATAATTACCTCCGTTCAAAAGGACCAACGGGCAAATTTAATGGGGAAAAAAGATTTATTGAATGAACTAATTTATGTCATAACAGTAAATGAAAAATAATTTTTTATTTTTCAATGTTTTTTAGACAAAGGAATTTGGGGCACCCAGGTCGCAAAAAAAGCCCCCTCGATACCTACCCCGCATACCACAATTTCCTGGACCTATTAATTAATGAAAATAATTTCACCAGGGTATGGAAATAATAAATTTGTGGGGCGTTTTTTAAAAAAATAAAAGTTATAATATACACAATTACATAACAGAAGGAAAATAATCTTAATATCACCACCAAATTTATGGAGATTAATGTTAAACATACCCGAAAACCTCATCTAACTAAAACATAAAATAATTGGGGCCCCAAAATTCACACAAAACTAAAGCTTATCTGAGGTTTCCTGGGGCTGTCTTTTTCCATCGTTGATATCTCAAGTTAAAGCAGGGGAATTACACCACCAATTTCGCCTCCTTTTGAGAGGTGTCAACACAATTTTAACCTCTAGAGCACAAAAAATTCTTCCCATTACACCAACGTTTGTATAAAAAATTAAAAACCAAGATGGCGAGTCTCTTGCGCATGTGCAGAGCCTCCCTGTCGGCTCCATTCTCTTCTTTTAAAAATACACTTTTAATCAAGTTTATTTACACAGCATAACATTGGGAAATTATTTTCCACATATGTCAGCGTCCCCCTCCCCACGTCCAGATGCGACGTAGTCAAAGTATCCGAAGTTTAGATACGATGACTCTTATTTTACCCTCAGTTTCTAACCACTTTCCACCTGGAAAGTGTCTGGAGAAGCCCGTTAAGTTCCCACCAGTACCTGTCTGTTAATAATTCCCTACTTCCACTACCTATTATTATTCCAAGTGCTCCTCCGTCAGGACAAGAATGGGTGTACGCCGCTACACGAGGCGGCGAGGGAGGGCGTGGAGGACGCCATCACTATTCTGACTGGTCGAGGAGCCAAGCTTGACGCCACTGACGAGGAAGGCAACACTCCCCTACACGCCGCCGCCAGGTGGGGCCAAACCACCGCCGTCGAGCTGCTCATAGAGAAAGGCGCTTCCGATGTGATCAAAAACAAGAGCGGTCTTCTCTACTCAGATCTGGTGAGGCTACTTTCTTAGTGCATTAATTTGGAGAAATGCTTAACCTGCAAACGGCATTTTGGTCCTTCCTGCATCATTATCAGTTGTTCTAGTTGTGGTATTGTAAGGGCCTGACTCTGACCTTCTAAGGCACTAAAAAAATTCGAAATCGTAATAGGTAAAGAAGGGCAAATTTTTTTGAGGTCCTCCATATCGTGAAGTCATAAACTGTAGGTTAATTAACCTTTGTGTAAGTCTAGCAGAGTATTGCGATTTTTATGTTTAAAAAAAAAAAAATGTTGCAGGCTTTGATCCGTGCTGTGCGCACAGAGGAGCGGAGTCAAGTGATGGCCGGCCTGGCCTGGGGTGGTGACCCTAACAGTAGGGATGCTCGACGTCAGACACTCCTACACCACGCTGTCTATAAGGTGGGCTATGTGTTGTTGTTCTTAGTTTACATGAGAGGATATAAACTCTAACAAGGGCCTATGTTGTCATAAGATGACTCGCTCAGTGGTACCAGGACGTTCTCTTAGACGGACAGAGATAGATGCAGAGACGGGTAGACAGGGCGTTAGATACAGTGGATACATTCATTAACGACTACGTTGCTTATAAAAGGTTGAAATAAAGGTTAGTTAAGGCACTTCTGGGACTACTTTAGTTAAGTTTAGGTGTGGTAGGACGCGGAGAGTACTTGTAGTATGTGAGGACATGTGAAGGTGGACTGTAGTCGAATTCTGTCGCCTACACTGGGAGCCAAGTTCATAGCACGCGCATCCTCTGGCTTACAATACTCCTTGTGTGATGAGTCTCGTGATGATGGTTTAGTTGTCAGAAATCAAGACAAGAGTCTCTTGACTCAGATTTTCGTTAAATGACGACCCGTAGTTGGTTCAATAGCTGGCTTACTGTTGATAGGCTCTACGCTCTTATTAAAACACCTTGATCACTTCCCAGTAGTGCTCTAAAGATGATAACCTCTCAGTATTCTGACTATGTGAAAACAGTTTTTCTTATATGGACAGTTAAGCACAGATTAGGTAGCGTTTTTATCTTGTCATTGACAAAAATCAAGAAATTGTAGCATAAAATCACACCATAATACATACAGTTTGGACTAGGTTTTAGAACGTGAAATGAAAACTAGCCAGATTCATTACATAATTTTCTTGGAATTCCATAGAGATTAGCAAACTTATACATTTTTAGAAACTTTAGAAACCACTGAATATAAAAATCAGTTACCAATTAATATTTTAATTTCAAAGCGGATAATTTGAAACTATGAAATAAACATGTTGGACGTGTGTGATGGCGCAGGGAGCCCAGGAAATCTGTGTGTTGCTGCTGGAGTGTGGCGCTGATGTCAACGCTGTCGACGCTCATGGCAGAACACCTCTCCTTCTGGCTGCCTACCGTGGCAATCATCAGGTGAGTCTTTCTTCGGTCCCTTCCTGCCTTCCATTCTTCCTTTATTTCCCTTCTCTCATCCTTCCTCCCTACCTTTCCCTCCATCGTGTGCCTGTTACTTGTACCGCCTGAGCGGCAAGTTTATCGTGCACCCCATGATCATCCTGTGAACTGTAGCGCAAAAAAAGTAGGATTACAGAGGTCACAACTGGTCCTTATCGAACCCCACCTGGCATAGTTACATCACGAAAAATCTATCACAGTCAGTTTACACATATTACAATTTCTTCATATAAGTAATGAAAACAATACAATAGGGAGTTACAATCTCAAAAACATTTAAGTATCTTATTACCACTAAAACATTTGTTATTATAAGGGTCGCAGCCGCTGACGCAAAATATATATAGACACAGCTTCAAGATTCCAATGTTTTATTCTCGGCAACTGAGTATTGAAGATTCTCACTGTATGTTGACGACTCTGTGTGTTGAAGACTCTCACTGTGTGTTGAAGATTCTCACTTGTGTTGAAGACTCTCACTCTTAAGGATCCTCATTGTTGAAGACGCTCATCATGTGTCGCATGCTCTGTGTATGTTGATGCTTCACTCTTCTGGTTGCAGATCATGCAGCTGTTGCTGGACGAGGGTTCTGACATCAACGCCCAGGACTGGACGGGTCAGACACCGCTACACTGGGCGGCCAGTGAGGGCAGTGTGGACACCGTCCATCTCCTGCTGGAGCGGGGCGCTGTTACCTCCGTCAGGAACAAGGATGGACTTCTCTACACTGACCTGGTGAGGCTCATTTCATCCCTGGTGGAGGCCTGTGTATGGAATTTTGTCTCTGCCACTAAACCAACTAATCCCATTCACTTTTTTTCGATGGTTTCATTTTTTCAGAAACACGGATGGGTTCGTTTATCAAAGGTGTAGCAGAGTTCATTCATGAAAGGTCTCTCGCTGAATGATTTGTACGGTTTTCCTGATTCATGTCATTATAATACTGTAATTCTTATAATTTAAACAATGTTAACTTGTGTGATGTGGGTCACTCGGTGCAACTGGCATGGGTCACAGTACAAGAAGTGATACAGGCTCGATCCACTGTCCGCTAAACGCGGTTTGGTCTGTTACTAGTCAGGCTGTTGGTAATGGCCCCGTGTGTGTATGTTCACAGCTGCTGAAGCATCTGTACCTGGCGGTGCGCCACAACGACGCAGACAAGGTGGTGGGTCTGGTGCGTGCAGGTGCTGACCAGTTCGCTGAGGTGGAAGGCACAGGTCTCAACCCTCGTGAAGAGGCCAAGAGACAGGGCCTCTATGACATCCTCCGCCAGATGGCAGCTCTCGCAAAGAAGGAGCCTCAGCATGAAGACGACAAAATCCTAGCTCTCGAGGATGTCTATAGGCTGTTTGAAGTAAGTAGCACCAGGAGGTGGAGGTCGCTTCATTAATAACTAAGAACGAATAAATAAATCTCTTGTGTTTTGCGTTTCGTCGTGTAAATAACCCTCAGAAAGCTAAACTAATTAGCATATTTGTCCTGGGCCTTTTGAGTGTTATTTTTACAAGCATATTTGGGCGATATTTTTACAATTATTTTATATTTTTTTCTCTGCTGGCCTTTTTTTTATTTACATTTTTTATGGAGCCTCATTTATGTATTTGGTCAAAATGTGTGCTTGCTAGTACCATCTTTCCGTACTTTTACAACATTCTCTGTTTAGGATAAATCTCGCTTTCTAGAACTTTTATCATTTTGAAATTTACTATTGTTTCCTATTTGTTAGCTTTTCCTGACAAAAAATTACGAAATAACCTGCAAAAAATGTTTTAAGTCCTTCGTTTGGCCTTGGCTAACCATCAGGGCTTTTAAACTTCTCCCAGTCAAACTTACAAGGTGCCCCTAGACTGCTAGAGGCAACAATAACAAGACAGTACTATCACACTAGGACTTGCCCGTCTTGTTATGTCTAGCTCACTATCTGAGGCTCTAGTTTCTCAATGCATGTGTACTAATTTAGGACGGATATATCACTGAGGACGCCGACCGCAGCTCCTCCGCTTGTGGGCGGAGTGAGACGGAGGAGGACGAGGAAGAAGACCAAGAGGAAGACGAGGATGCCTATTGGAAAATGTCCAATGCCTACGAGGTACTCACTGTCGAAGAGGCATTTAAAGATGAAGATGATTGGCTGGAGGCATGGATGGAAAAGCCGAAGGTGATCTCCGCCAAGGAGCTCTTCGAGGAAGATCAAGCCGCCTTCTGGGAGACTTGGGAGGAGAAACCCAAAGTTATATCTGCAAAAGAGTTATTTAAGGAAGATACCAATTGGTGGGAAGACGATGACGAAGAGAACCATGATAGACGGGGTGAAGACGAAGACAAACCGAAATACATTTCAGCTAAAGAGTTCTTCAGAGACGATGAGTGCTGGTGGAGGGACGCCTTGGAGGACTTGCAAGAATCACAAGTTTCGGATGAAGAACTATTTGCAGGTGGAGAAGAGAAGAAGCCAAAGATAATGACAGCCAAAGATTTTTTCAAAGATGAAGAGAAGCCATGGTGGGAGACAGAAGAAGAGGAGCACAAAAAAGTTATCTCAGCCAAAGAATTCTTCAAAGATGATGAGAAGCCATGGTGGGAGACTGAAGAATTCATTCAACAAGAAAAGCCAAGTGGTTTTCTAAGTGGACTAAAAAAAAGCTCGGATTTTGCACACTTTTCTAACAGCCACTTTGTGGGCAGTGAAGAAGAGAGTGAAATCCTTGAAGGCAGAGAGGAAGAGGAACAAGAGGAAGAGAAGGAAGATAAATATAGTGCATCGGAATCGTCTGATGACGAAACGGAATTGTCGAGCAGAACGGACGACTTCGAGGATGCCAACGACAGCTTGCTCAGTGATAGTAGCACCATGTACAGTGCCAGTGAAGGCGAGAGACTACCAGCTAGCGTGGTCTTTAGAGACACTCCCTGGTGGGAGACTGACGACCAACAAGATGAAAACAGCCCAAAAGCATCAGAGTCAAACGCGATGGACGCCTCGCAAGAAAAGCTCTGGCTGGACGACCTGAGTGAAGCAAGTGAAGCGACAGAAACATTAGATATGGACACGAGTGAGATCAGTGAGGTAGCAACGGCAACAGAGTTCTACCGGCGGGCTTCAGAGAGCTCACAGCTTGAAGTGGTATCTAGCATCTGCGTTGAGAGTAAGCGAAGCGACGTAGACAGAATGAGAATTGAAATTGATACCGATCAAGACACTATTGCGACAGACAGAGAGAGTGAATCAGAAAAGAGAGAAAATGACGAGGATAGTAATGGGGAGGAGGAGGAGGAGGAGAAAGAGGCAACAGATGAAAAAGAAAATGATAGAAAGAAAAACGTTTCATACGAAGAGGATGACAAAGGAATAGTTGAAGATTACAATAGTGAAAGTGAGGCACTGAAGAGTGAGGATGAAATAGAAGATATATCGGATGAAGAACTCGTTGAAGAAGATGAGAATGAATATGATTCAGATGAAGAGGGAAATGAACGCAATCCCTCGGGAACAATGAATTCAGCAGTAAGTGCTGAACTCCCTGATATTAAGAGGGACGGCAATTCAGCTGTTCAGGAAAACATTAGAAAAAATATTACACCTTTAGTAGAGATAGAAATGTACGATAAAGACAACGACACCTTGAACTCTAGACCTGGTGACGGAAAAGAGAAAAATGAAGAATCTGTGGGAATTCTGAGCCCAACTTTTGATTTGCTTGCGGACTCGGTGAGTAAAGCAGACAGTTTAGAGAAGGATGGCACTAACCTAGACGTAGGCACAACTAATACTGACTCTTTGTTAGATCGAAACCAGTTATCAGTTGACGCTTACTATATGGAGGGAAATCTCCAAAAGTCAGATTCGCAGACTAGTGGATATGAGTCGAGTTTGTCCTTGTCTGAAAGCAGAACTAGCCATCTTACCGCAACCTGTAATGTTAGAGTAGATAGCGAGTGTGGTGAAAGTAGTTCGGAAAAGCAAAGCGAAATTGAAAGCAACGAAAACTCTAAGCAAGAAATGATAACGGTGGAAAATGTTTCACCTGAGGGAAAAGATAGATACGAACCAGTGACCGAAGTAAGGACAGACACAGCAGAGAATGACAGAACTCATGTTGACGACGTTGACGAACCACGAAATGTTTTACCTGAGAGAGAAGACACTTGTAACCCAGTGACTAAAACAATGACAGAGGCAGGGAAGGACGATGCAATTTGTGTTGACAAACTACAACATGTTTTACCCGAAACAGAAGACGGTTATGAACCAATGACTGAAGTCAGGAACAAGGCAGTGGAGGACGATGCAACTCGTGTTAATAAAGCCGACAACCCAGATAACATTGCAGAAATAAATGAAGAAGATGCAGAAGAAATCAATCGAACACAAGTTAAACCAGAAGATGTAAAGCGGGTTGTGATTCAAATGAAACTTTGTACAGACGACATGATGAAAAATGTGAATGAGGTCAAAGAAGAAAACGAACCAAAAACATATAACAAGGTTTCTGAGGGAGAAAGAAAAGATAGTGAGATGGAAAACAGGATTCACAAAAATGACACTTACGTGAAACCTGTAAAACTCCAACCATCAGTAGGCGTGACATTAACCCAAAGTTATACAGCTTCTGTTAAAGAAAGTCTTGGCGACAAAATAGCAGTAAATAAAATGGATGCATGTTTGGCTAAAGTGGACGCCAGTCTGGCCTGGGTGGACGCCCGATTGACAAAGGACTCCAGCAGCAGGATGCAACAGGGTGAAAATAAAAAAGCAGAAGACGTGAGGACATACGCGGCTGTTCTGGCACAGGGAGCCAGAACAACTCCAAAGTACTGCGGGGCGGCCAAGACAACAAAGCCCCACGGAAGGAGTGAGGATTCTGCTGTACGTGCTAAAACCAAAAGCGAAGACAAGGACTCTGTGTTCTTGATGAAAGTTCACGTACATGTTCCAGAGGAGAGTAGCGAGGTGTGGCCTGCTGAAGAGGGAGCTGCTGCTAGCCAGGACGGGACCAGTTTACACAATATTGCTCCTGCAAACGGCAAGTTAACCGGAGGCACTTTTCTTGGGGTAGTAAACAATGGGAGCTCTGATTCAAAGAAGAGCTCTAAGTATATTTCTAGATTATCGGAAGGCATTGATTTGGAAGATAAGGATTTGAACACCTGTAGCATAAAACCAACAGAGCAAATATTGACCGCTAAACCAAATATAGAGACTGAATCAGTGGCTGAAGAACGTTCCATAAAAGAAAGTGATGTAACTACCAGTAAGGAAATTGCCGAGGACATCCAACCCAAAACAAAAGAAAGATATACTCATAGTAGAAAAGAAATTTATTCTAGAAGAGTTTTAGAGGAAAAAACAGGCAACGGTAACATAAAAACATTGAAACGAGGGGATGTTAATGATGATATGTGCAAACTACAAGACACGTTACTCAACAAAGTGGGGCCCAGCAACAACAGAAACGAAGATATGTGTAGCACCCACGTTGATGTTACTTCACAACAAGATCAACGCAGTAAGGAAAATGAAGATACCTGTGGTACTCACGTTACTGCGTCACAAGATCACCTTAGCAAGGAAAATGAAGATACTTCTGGTACTCAGGTTGATACTGCGTCACAACAAGATCAACACAGCATAGAAAATGTAGATGTTTGTAGTACCCACATCGATACTACATCACAGCAATATCAACGCAGCAGGGAAAATGAAGATACTTGCGGTACTCACGTTACTACTTCACAACGAAATGAATGCAACAAGGAAAATGAAGATACTGTTAGTACTAATGTTGATACTGCTTCACAAGATCAAAACAGCAGTAATATGCCTGTGAATTCTGCTTCACAGGAAGATCATAGCTTAGCTGATGAAAGGGAGAGTAATCATAGAGTTAACGATAATGGGAAAACGGATGCGAACCTCACGAACGAGAAAGAAAAGGAGCTGTCTCGCGAAAGCTCCGTTGAACGATCATCAGCACCTAGCGCGAGTGAGGCTAAGCTTCTGTCGTCTCAAAAGACCCTTTGGAGATGTAGCACCTACGAAGCCATGAGCCTCAGTGACTATGATAATCTTGCATTCTTGATCAGTAAATCGGCCAGCTCCCCGGCTTGTTGGCCCACCATGACGACACATAAACTCTCCCTAAGCATAGAATCTCTAGACAAGGCCACAGATGAGGTCTCATCAAAAGCAACTACGGGCCAGAAGCATCACCTCCTAGAAGAAACTTTGTTCAACAGTACTGCTGGGAAGAAACGTGAGCCCTCTGAAGAAACTTCGGCCAAGAGTACTACAGGACAGAAACTTGGCTCCCCAGAAGATACCTCGTCTAAAGGTGGTACTAGACATAAACATGGCCCCTCAGAAGAGCCCTCGTCCAGAAGTACTCAACAGTACGCGGGGCACTCAGTGGAGACGTCGGTTAAAGGCGCCGGTGGTCAGAATTATGACTCTACCTCTGAAGAACCATGGAACCAATTCTCTAAGTCAAACACTATGAAGGAAACTCGCCCAGATCTAATGAATACTAGTAGCAGTAGATGTCACATAGATGGATACGCAAACGAGCGTAAAGACTATGTAGAGGAAGTCAGTAGCAGTAGGTGTCGCGTCCATAAAGCCAGTACCAACTCCCACGACCTTGGCGAGAGTCAGACAGAGACGTCTAGTTACAGAGACAATATTATTAATGAAATTCCACAAACATCTGTTGCATGCGAAGCTTCTTCCATGTCACCGCCCGCGCCAGTAGAAACACAAGCATGCCCTAACCATAGTGAGACTAGCACCGCTCAACACCCGTTCCTTGTTCCTCCAAGGAGAAGGGAACGAAAACTGCAATATCAAACAGTAGATGACAAAGATGATGGACATAGACCAGACAGCAAATCTAATGAACTAAAATCGCCTACTAACACCGCTTTGTTGTATGACTCAGATGAAAAAGAGGCCGGTAAAATAGCGGCAGCCTCGCAGGTAGCGCCTGAAGCACGCCACGTTTCTGCTATAACAAGCAAGGAGTTCAAACGGGAGAAAGACAAGACCAAAGAGGTAAGCATCGAGTGGAGCGGCTTCTTCTCGCTTACTTCTGCCATATTGCTTCTGCAAAATCTTGCTTTCATATATTTCATTCTCATTCCTTTAATAAAACTAATTGCTTCATTTTTATAGTCTAGAGAACAGATGCTTATAACTTTATGAAAATGAAGAGAAATTTCACGTAATGCACGCACAACAATGGTGTTTTTTACTGTGAAATATGTAGATCAAGTTTTGGGGGTAGAGATGAAGCGGGTATTTGATATTCTTTGCAGTTGGGCGTGATGGCAGGCAAGTCAGACCCCGTCAGAAAGTCCTCGTCCTGCCGCATAAGTTGATCCTCAGCAAATAACTTCATCAACGTTTACAAAATCCACTGAACAAAATATAATTGTCGCCACGTTCTTGATGCCGTCATGGCAGCGCATTCACAGAGATGTAAATTGGCTGCAAGTGGCAATGCGAAAAAATGACTTCGCTTGTGTAAATTACCCACCAGAAGATCAATATTGTATTAGGCTTTATCGGTTGCCACTCGTATGACAGCCTATGCTACCAATCGAACTAAACAAAAAAAAAAGATACGTCTGCCCCCAAAATTTGAATTATATTTTTAACTGAGGCTGAAATAATAGTTTTAGTATGCTAACACTATAAACAATGATCAAGTCCAGCAGAACAAATTACGACTGTTTGTGGAATACCATAAAACTCATCACGAACAAGAACAACTGTTGTTATTTAAAAAAAATGATCAATACATTTTAAATAACTCACAGAAACGTCCATTCCATCATTAGAGTGTTCCCCTCCTCCTCCTCCTTCTCCTCTCATGCCTTCCCGGACGCTGAGTGATGCTGTCTGTCGTCTGAAGTCTGACGCTCTGCTTCCTTGGTGGCCACAGTGAAAAGTTCCTCCATGTCTCTTCCTTGACACATGGACTTGCTTACCCCTCCAGGGATGAAGTGATGCAATTTCACGTAATACAAAAATGAAAGATCACTATTTTTAACGTCCCAGGGGATGTGAAAACTGTTCCTGAACATTGGTAGGAAAGTTTTCCTGGTAATGGAACATAGCTGGCTGACCATGGAGTGAATACAGTTTCCGAGCTTTGCTGCTTTGGGTTATTTTGACCTGATCGCCATTATGCTGACCACAGAGGTTATTTTGACCTGACCGCTCTTTTGATGGCCATTTGCAGCACTTATTGTTTATTTGCCATTTATTTTACTCCCGTTTATATTCGTTTATTTTGATTTTTTGGAAGTTTTATATTAGAAACTGGAGACATTTCATTCATCATTTCTCTTGTATCAGGAGTAACGTGTTGAATGGAATTATATACGAATATATGCGCACAATGATGCACCCCAGCTCAGAATGCTTAATACTTCCAATAATTACATATGCCCACCCAAGACTAGTCACATGCATGCTAATTGGCCCTTGTAAGATTAGGAGGGGAGATGTACCACAATTAAGTTGAACGGTGTTGTATCACAGCCTAGTAGAATGGTGTATTACCACAAAGCAGATGGTACAGTACCATAATCTAGTTACTAGACTATGGTACCGTACCATATGGTATCGTAGATCGTGCTGTAGAAGTAGGTACACTAGTTTCATGATGTCATCACCAGATAAAGCATGTATCACAACTGGGAAGACTGTGTTATCACAACCAGGAAGTGTCCTGTCAGTCAGTATACATAGTGCATCCTACCGAGTATTAGTGTATTTAGAAATACATATTTGATCTTACTAGTGTTAACAAGTAGCAAGTAGTCCACTCTGTGGAGGATAGTGGTACATTCTCTCTTCAGTATTTTCACTCTTAAAAAATGAAAAATTACCTGGAGTTTACCTAGGTTAGAATAGCGTTGTTTGACGAATAAACTAAATTGATTTTATTTAGACATAAGTGCCTATGGACTCAAAAAAATGAATGAGGAAATTATATCTGTTGTAGATTAGTGTTATGTTACAAATAAAAATTATAATGACTTTTTTAAGGTTTTTAAATACTTATGTTAAATTAATATTAAATGACGGCTAAATTATATTAACATTTTAGACTCACAGGAGAAGTATTTTGTTTAAAGTATATGTTAATGTAAATGACTGTAACAGTTCATGAAATGTTTCTTCACTTCACCTCGTGAATGTATGTGCATGAATGTATTGTAGTTCAGTTTTTACCCACTGTAATGTACAGCTCAGTGTTCTCTTGCGTAAATGTCACTTTTTTACGCTTAATGTTAGATACGTATCTTGCCATATGGTGCGTATGAGTCTTGTTCCCACGCTGTGTACACCTCTGTGCTGCTCACATTTAAGGGTCTTGTGTTCCCACGCTGTGTACACCTCTGTGCTCATATTAAAAGTCTTGTGTTCCCACGCTGTGTACACCTCTGTGCTCATATTAAAAGTCTTGTGTTCCCACGCTGTGTACACCTCTGTGCTGCTCATATTAAGGGTCTTGTGTTCCCACGCTGTGTACACCTTTGTGCTTCTCACATTTTAAGGGTCTCGTGTTCTCCACATTGTGTACCGGTGTGTTTATATTTCACACACTGCAGTGCTTTCCACGGTATACAGTTACGTGTGTGTTACATTCGTGTACAAGACTGGAATGTCAGCTATCCATGTACCCTCAACTCCATCCTGATCCAGTCACCTTTCCAATTCAATCCCAGAGTATCGACAGGTGCAAGATGTTCCTACCCACCCTTCCCCAACCCCAGGGTAGAGTTTGTAGAAATACGGATGTATATATTTATAACTTTCCATTGTATGACTTAGAAATACATTTATGCGAGTCTGTAGCCTACTGAAATATTTTCTCTGGCCACACAGAGGCTTTGATCTGGCTGTACTTCAGGCAGCTGTACGTATTGTGTATTAATGCTGTCTTAGAAGCTGTAGTCTCCTCAGTGGGTGATATAAGACCGGTTTGTGATATGTAAAACAGTTTCCAACCCCATGTCTTGTATGAAATAAACTGTATGTAGATGCTACGCACAGTTTCTCTCACCCCTTAAGTAGATAGGCAATGAAAATTAAGTCTATCGGGTCACTGACTCTAGATACAGGCGCATCCCAGTACCTGTGTGAGCTGCGGTACTGGTGACGACAACTTGGATAAGTGGTAAGTGTGCAGATATATGCTGGATCATTCAATGTGTTATTTCTATTGTGACCTGTGACGGTCATGGCATAATCAAGACACGTGTCGGGTCTTTGTCTTGACGAAGACTATAACGAGTATTATATAACACGGACGGCCATGTTGCTAACAAACATTATGAAGCACTAAATGCCATTTACCTGCATAAATATATCGTGGCGAGAAGACTGTTGCAGAGGAATCTTTCCCTCATCCTTCAAGGGATGTCCGTCGGCGCCACTGAGAGGTCTCTTGATCCAAGGTATTGGTTCCACTATTTTCCTTAGATCGAACCTGAATGCTTCCATTTCTCCAGGTGCTGTACGATTCATATAGATTTAGCGCTCCCCATGAATGCAATAATAATAATAATAATAATAATAATAATAATAATAATAATAATAATAATAATAATTTCTTCGTATATATAGGACTAAATATTCAGGAAAGAAACGTCTGCTTAAATTTCAGATTCCCAAGACGGATTAGCAATTAAAACGACTCTTCAATATACAAGTTAGATCAAGGTTGTGGCAAACAAAATCTTCGACATCCAATTTCTTTATTATAAACATTTCAGGTGTAACATTTTCTGAATCTAAATTTACAATAAAAGTAAAAGGGCTGCCGAAATTCAGATTTAAATCAGTAACATTGTACAATGTAATAATAAACATGTATCAAAACATTAAGATGATACCAAGGATGAGGTTAGGGTTGTCAGGAAACAGGACAAGTGTTTCCTTATGTGGGTCATGTTATATGATGACCCGCACCTGGAGCTTTTGGTCATCTGACCGAGACCTTCCACTGGCTTACCAGTCCACTCCTTCGCAAATTAGTTATCATTATATTATAACTTAACCAAGAACAATAATATGAAAATCAAAGTTTTAATGGATAAAGTAAACAAAAGGCAATATTACGTAAAGTTCCTTAAAAAATACAAACTAAATTGAATCTATTATAGAAACATGCAAGATTTTTGTGAAAAAAAAAAAAATACTTTAACAAATTATTACCATCGAAGAATTAAATTGGTTTCTCCTAGTTATTAAGCTGTTATATATAAGGTGTTGGTAAGTATTATATACTACACAGGTATTTGTATGGCACAACCATGGTTCTACACTGTCTCTCTGTCTGTGTGTCTGTCTGCGTGTCTGTTTGTGTGTCTGTCTGTGTGTCTGTGTGTCTGTTTGTGTGTCTGTTTGTGTGTCTGTGTGTCTGTCTGTGTCTGTCGTGTCTGTCTGTCTGTCTTTCTGTCTCTCTCTCTCTTCTCTCTTCTCTCTCTCTCCTCTCTTCTCATATTATATATATATATATATATATATATATATATATATATATATATATATATATATATATATATATATATATATATATATATATATATATATATATATATATATATATATATATATATATAGGTCAAGCCACGAGGGGTGGAAATCTTTAGCTCAAGTACTTTCACATTTCTCAGTGTGTCATCAGGAGCTGTGCATTGTTGCAAGGGAACAACCAAAGCAGGTAGCGAGGTCTCAGAGTAGCGTAGGTGTCACTGGGCACGGTTACCCTTAGACTGGGTTAGTGGTCGGTGCCAACCCCACCCTACCGTGGCTTGTTCTGCAGAGCTAACATCGCCCGTCTGCGATTGTTTGAATATATTTTATATATATATATATATATATATATATATATATATATATATATATATATATATATATATATATATATATATATATATATATAATGTGTGTGTGTGTGTGTGTGTACTCACCTATTTGTGGTTGCAGGGGTCGAGTCACAGCTCCTGGCCCCGCCTCTTCACTAATTGCTACTAGGTCCTCTCTCTCCCTGCCCCATGAGCTCTATCATACCTTGCCTTAAAACTATGTATGGTTCCCGCCTCCTCCACGACGTCACTTTCTAGGCTATTCCACGGCCTGACTACTCTATGACTGAAGAAATACTTCCTAACATCCCTTTGATTCATCTGAGTCTTCAACTTCCAATTGTGACCTCTTGTGTCTGTGTCCCTTCTCTGGAACATCCCGTCTTTGTCCACCTTGTCTATTCCGCGCAGTATTTTATATGTCGTTATCATGTCTCCCCTGACCCTCCTGTCCTCCAGTGTCGTCAGGCCGATTTCCCTCAACCTTTCTTCGTAGGACAATCCCCGTAGCTCTGGGACTAGTCTTGTTGCAAACTTTTGCACTTTCTCTAATTTCTTACCGTGCTTGACTAGGTGTGGATTCCAAACTGGTGCTGCATACTCCAGTGTGGGCCTGACGTAAATGGTATACAGAGTCTTAAACGAATCCTTACTGAGGTATCGGAACGCTATCCGTAGGTTTGCCAGGCGCCCGTATGCTGCAGCAGTTATCTGATTGATGTGCGCCTCAGGAGATATGCTCGGTTTATACTCACCCCCAGATCTTTTTCCTTGAGTGAGGTTTGCAGTCTTTGGCCATCTAAACTATATTGTGTCTGCGGTCTTCTTTGCCCTTCCCCAATCTTCATGACTTTGCATTTGGCAGGGTTAAATTCAAGGAGCCAGTTGCTGGACCAGGCTTGTAGCCTGTCCAGGTCTCTTTGTAGTCCTGCCTGATCCTCATCCGATTTGATTCTTCTCATTAACTTCGCATCATCTGCAAACAAGGACACCTCTGAGTCTATCCCTTCCGTTATGTCGTTCACATATACCAAGAACAGCACAGGTCCTAGGACTGACCCCTGTGGAACCCCGCTTGTCACAGGCGCCCACTCTGACACCTCGTCGCATACCATGACTCGTTGTTGCCTCCCTGTCAGGTATTCTCTGATCCATTGCAGTGCCTTTCCTGTTATGTGTGCCTGATCCTCTAGCTTTTGCAGTAACCTCTTGTGAGGAACTGTGTCGAAGGCCTTCTTGCAGTCCAAAAATATGCAGTCGATCCACCCCTCTCTCTCTTGTCTTACTTCTGTCACCTTGTCATAAAACTCTAGTAGGTTTGTGACACAGGATTTTCCTTCCCTAAAAACCGTGCTGGTTGTCAATTATACACTTGTTTCTTTCCAGTTGCCCCACCACTCTCCTCCTGATGACCTTCTCCATGACCTTGCATACTATACACGTTAGTGATACAGGTCTGTAGTTTAGTGCCTCATGTCTGTCTCCCTTTTTAAAAATTGGGACTACATTTTGCCATTTTCCATACCTCAGGGAGTTGCCCAGTTTCAAATGATGTGTTGAAGATCTTTGTTAATGGCTAAACACAATATCTCTGCTCCCTCTTTAAGGACCCATGGAGAGATGTTGTCTGGTCCCACCGCCTTTGAGGTGTCAAGTTCGCATAGCAGCTTCTTCACCTCCTCCTTGGTTATATGTACCTCATCCAGCACTTGCTGGTGTGCCCCCCTGTTTTTATTTCCTGGAGTCCTACTGGTTTCCACTGTAAATACCTCTTTAAATCTTGTGTTGAGCTCCTGACATACCTCTCGGTCGTTTCTTGTGAATTCCCCATCACCCTTCCTCAGTCTGATTACCTGGTCCTTGACTGTTGTTTTCCTCCTGATGTGGCTGTACAACAGCTTCGGGTCAGTCTTTACTTTTGATGCTATGTCATTTTCATATTGTCTCTGAGCCTCCCTTCTCATCTGTGCATATCGTTTCTGGCTCTTCGGCTGATTTCTTTATTTTTCCTGAGTTCACTGTCTTCTGTACCTTTTCCATTCTCTAGTACACCTAGTTTTTGCCTCCCTACACCTTTGGGGGAACCAAGGACTCGTTCTGTTCTTCCCATTATTTCTGTTTCCCTTGGGAACAAACCTCTCCCCTGCCTCCTTGCATTTTGTTGGGCCACATAGTCCGTCATTCTTGTGCTGGTTTTCCTGTCAGTTCCCTCTCCCATTGAATGTCTTGAAGGAAGTTCCTCATGCCTGAGTAGTTCCCCCTTTTGTAGTTTGGTTTTCCCAGCCTATTCCTGCTACTCTCTCCACTTGGAGCTCACTATGTAGTCGAAGCACAGAACCACATGATCACTAGCTCCCAGGGGCCTTTCATACATGATACCCTCGATGTCCGAACTACTCAGGGTGAATACAAGGTTCAGCCTTGCTGGTTCATCCTCTCCTCTCTCTCTGGTAGTGTCTCTAACATGTTGATGCATGAGGTTTTTCCAGTACCACATCCATCATCTCGGCTCTCCCCTGTTTTGGGACCCCCATGGGGCCCCCAGGTTTTCCAGTCAATCTCCTTGTGATTGAAATCACCCATAACTAGTAACTTTGCTCCCCCCATGTGGCCTCCGGGGCCCACCTCGCTAGGGGTCATCATTTTTGTTGCTTCATCAATTCTTCTCTTGGCCTCCTGCATTTTCTGTGGGGGGTTTGTACATTACTGCAATTATCCCCTTAGTCCCTCAACTGGATTTTTCCCTACTAAGTATTCCCTTTCGCCCGGGCCATCCATTCCTTCATTTTCTAAAAAACCCAGGTTTTAATGACAGTGCAACTCCGCCTTTCCCTCCCCTCATCTTCTTTCCTGAGGATTTGATACGGAGGGAAAGTTTTGAATCTGTTTTTATTTGGTGGTTTTGTTTCTGTGAGTGTATTAGTCTGGGGATTCCCCTTTTTCTTTCAGCCACTCCTCTACTTGTTTGTTATTCCTCTGCATTTGTATCCCACCCCTTCAATTTCTTTTTAAGATGTGGTCTGGGGGGTTACTTGGGGTTGGGGAAGTGGAGATGGTAAGGAACTATGGTTTTTGCTGTGGGGGTGGATTTTGTAATGTAGTGGGTGGGGGCTTTGGAGGGCATGGGTTTTTTGGGTTTAGAGTGTTTGGTTGCACTGGGGTTGCCCTGGTTGG